GAGAGCCTCGGCCACGAAGGGGCTCCCGGACCAGACGCTAAAGGAGCGGGCCGCAAAAGAAAGCCCCTCCCGAGGGGGGTCTGCTTTCGGGGAGGGGTCTCTTCCAGGCAATCTTGGAGGGCCTGGGGGGTCTGGGGACGGTGTTTGGGAGGGTTCTCCCACGGGGGAGGTCTGCAATGGCTTGTCTCGGAGGGTCCAGACCCCCTCCCTTTTATTACGACATCTGGAGTAGTTTTCGGTAGTTCAGCGTCTTGACTATGGGGGCCTCGCCAGTACCTCATGGGCAGAGGGAAAAAAAAGGCCTCCCAGTGACCCTTTCCCCCCGCATTCCTCTCCCCTCAAGGCGGCCACCACAAACCTCCAAAAGCGCCCAAGGTCTCTTCGGTGTTCGATCCCCCCATCCCCGTCCTCCATCGTCAAGCCCAGAAACCCAACGTCTTTGAGTTTTCCTATACGGGTTCCCTGGAAACCTCGACCCTTTCCTCGGGGAGAGCTTTTCATGCTGAGCCGCCCCCCCACGCCCTGAAAGCCCGAAGACGGCTCCGGGATATCGAAAACCGCGACAACCCTCCGTCTTGACTTCAGGACAAAAAAACGGCATCAGCATAAACATTTGGAGGTCCGCGTGGATCTCTTGGATCGGCGCTGGACACCCCCCGCGGAGCGCGCCAGGGGGGGGAGCACGCCAGGGGGAGCGCGGGAGACACCACCAGGGAAAACTCAAAACCAACCCAAGAAATCCGCGCGGAGCTCTGAAAGTGTCTGTCTATGACGTGGTTTTGTTGTTCGTCTGATGTTTGTTCAGGACGCTGAGGGTCTGGTGATAGATAATAAAAGGACCCCCCAACCCTGTGACAGGCGACCCAAGTCATGAGGCCAAAAACATTAGGGATAGGGGGTCTGCGCCGCAGATGTATCAGACCAGAACCGCTCAGACTCATTATCCCTAGAGCAAAGACCAGGACCTCAGTGAGTCCACGTCCTCCCTATTTTATGAAGGTGAAGGGTTTTTTGTTATCCTCTATGCTCTGGGAGGATGGGCACGGCGACCCCCCTTCTGGTGGTGGCCCCCATTGGCGCTGCCTGGGGTTATCAGGCGGGGGACATGTGCAGAGGAGGGAGGCGCGCGCGCTTGGGCGGCCTCGGCCGAGGGGGGCCAGGGCGGCTGCGGGAGAGGAGGAGGAGGAGGAGGAGGAGGAGGAGGAGGAGGAGGAGGAGGGGGAGGAGGGGGAGGATCAGGAGGAGGGCACGAAGCTCGTGGAGGATCAGGAGGAGGAGGAGGAGAAGAGGAGAAGAGGAGAAGAGGAGGAGGAGGCGGAGGAGGAGGGGGAGGGGGAGGAGGAGGACAAGCTAGGCGTGCTCGCGTCATATATGACGTCCTACCCCTCCCTCCCGTCCCTTACCATGGCGTAGGTCTCCGCTCTATTCGCACAATCGGATGTCGCAGCGTGGCATAGCATCACATGGCATAGCATGGCTTTGACGCTCCAAAGTGGGGGGGGGGGCTTCTGCATCCCACAAATCAACGAATCGGCACCGAATGTGTAATCATTTCCGATGTTTTTTTTCGGGAGGCCATTTTCTAAATTTGGGGGCCTATTTGGGAGGACCGAAAACCATGCCGTGGCATGGCACTGGAAATAATGACGCCAGCGCTGCGGCGGGAGCACGATTCGGGACGAGCGGAAGCGCGGAAATGAGGCCAGCGCTGCAGCGGGACACGGTTCGGAACGAGCGGGGACCCGACAATGAGGCCAGCGCTTCAGCGGGAGCAGTATTAAGTTGTCTATGTACGCTTTGTGTTAATGCTAATAATAATAATAATAATACGAATGGTAACATTGATACTGGTGATGATGATGACGATGATGACGATGATGATGATGATGGTGATGATGATGATGATGATGATGATGCTGATGATTATGCTGATGATGATGAGAATAATAATGGCACTCGCAATGATAAACCTGCAACGCACACGCAGGTGCTGACAATATGCGTGAATCTTTTATTCCAAGACCTTCTCGCTGCAAATGATAAGTGATGCTAGCTGGTAGCGTAGGCAGAAGGGGGCCCCCTCAGCCAATATGTTTACGGGCAGAGGGGTGAGAGCGTGCAACAGCAATAGCAGGGACCAGCATTATCAGATAAACAGAATGACTATTGCACTCCTGGAGTTCTCTCTGGTCCTGCTCTGAAACTCGGAATGCGGCCTGGCTATACAACGGGTTTGTTTGCAGCACGGACTCGGATTAGCACGAAATAAAACAGTAACTGAATTCTCTGAGCGGCCAAGGATCGGCAGCTGAAATCAATGAACCGAAACTCGATACGGCATCCGGAATCGGTAATATCTTGGGCAAAACCAAGCGGATGGGAGTGAAACGCGACTCCCGGCACGTGCAAGTAAAAAAAAATCAAACTCGCAATATCTTGGGCGAAACCAAGCGGATGGGAGTGAAACGCGACTCCCGGCACGTGCAAGTAAAAAATCAAATCACTTCTTCTGTACTTGGCCATCCCCACCGGTCAGCTCCTCGCAAGCAATCGACTCCACGAGCGACAGCACTGGATCCGCCAGGAACTTGGTCAGATTCTCACGAAGCTTCGGATCCTCCTTGGTCATGCCGTCGGCTATCATGTGCGTCGTAGGGATCCATCTGACGTTCTTGACCTTCACCTCGTCACGAATGGAAATCACGTCGATCACAGTACGTTTCTCAGACAAACTCGGGGTGAGCTGGTGGAGGGCATCGTACAGAGACTTGCAGTCGGTAACGGTGATAACCTCGAAGATCGGGGGGTGTCGGCCAGCAGGCCGTCCGGTCAACATCTCGGACAGGAACTTCGACAAGTACGACGCGTAGTCCACTCCCAGGTCCTGCGCGATAGCTTCCCCAGCCAGCGTAGATCTCACCACTCTCGGCGTTCTCTTGGACTTGTGAAACAAGAGAGTACATGACGTGGGTCCGGTGAGTATCACCTCGTCTGCCAGAAAGATGAGGGTGCCGATCTGGGTCTTCAATCCGGGAGCGTTCGCCCATGAGCTGTCTGCAAAACTCACGAAGCAGGCGCGGCTCATATCGACGCGGACGATCAGGATGCCAGTCTGGGCTGTGCGGTGCGCGTACTCTACGTGCTTCATGGCCATCCGCAGGTCGTTCAGCTCGGGGTCGGTCCTCTGGACAAGGGAAACCGCGGCTGACAAGTCTGGACGTGTGTGTCCGGACAACCACTGGAGCGAACCGACAGCAGACTCCAGATCTTCGCGCTCAGAGCGCGTCAGCTTAGAAGAAGACCGAGTGCTGGACATAACTCCAACCTTCGTGACTGCAATCGCCTTAGTGTAGGCCGCTTGATGAACAAACAAACTTCCGCTGTACGGACCTTGACGTAGGCGCTGGTACTCCTCGCCGAGGAAGACGAAGTTGTCCCACTGCCAGCCTCGCCATTTAATAGCCTTCTCGATCGGTGTGAAGTCGAACTTGGGATGGTGTGCCGCAAGAGCATCGTCCACGTGCATACCCACCGCGCAAGCCAACTCATTGTTCGGAAAAAAACCACAAGAAGAGAGCTGAATCGAGGCTGTGGAGCTTGCTGCCCAGCGCCAGGAAGGTCGTCACCACGTGCTTGTACCATAGGTACGGCGCCGTCGACTGACCGTACAGGTTGCCGACCACCTCGTAGAGTGGGGCGGTGAAGACTCCGGCGGCTTGAACTATCGGGTCCTTGGGCGGAATCATGTAGATCGCCTCCTCGCGCTCGCTCTGGGCGCCTCCCTGGAGAAAGGCGCTCTCCGCGTCTCCGGTCCCGACTCGCCAGTCATTCGAGACCGCGATCTGGCAGATCAACTTCTTGCCAGCGTCGGTCAGCACCGGGGCGTTACGCGGCAACTTCTCCAGGTCGGGGTCGGAGAACCCCAGCAACACCGGGCGAGCCTTGGCCTTCAACGGCGGAAACCCCAAGTTCTTGTCCCGGTAGCACACGCGCGAGCGGATGCACCGTTTGCGGCGATGAGGGTCACGACGAACTTGTTCGGCCTCCTCCTGCGAGCAGGCCCGAACGGACTTCCAGGTGTCCCAGTTCTGGCACTCCTTGCGCAAGGCCTTGACGTACTCCATGAACTGGTCCTCCGGGTACTCTGCGATCTCCCGCCAGGGGATTTCACGATCCAGTTGACGCTGCTCGCGTCTCGACAGGTTGTTCGAGTCCGTCGTGTCGCCCACCTGTGCTGTCGCACAGTCCACGTCCATCTCGCCGTCCCTGAGGTCGGAGAGCTCGTGGGAGGTCATGTACAGGCAGTTTGTCCAGTCGTCGTCCGGCTCGCTGTCGTCGATCGGGTCGTTCTCGAAGTTCTCGATGGGCAAGAGGTGCGCCTCGTAGGCCTCCTGGACCTCCGCCAGGCTCGAGAACACGCGGGTCCTGAGCAGGACCGGCTCCTCGACTCCGTCCCAGCCATCCGGTGTGATGAACTCCATCTCGTCCGACTCGTTGGACACGAAGGCTGCTGGGCTCGGTGAGCCCGGTATGTGAGGAAGCTTTCCTGGTCGGGATTTCTTCTCCGGTGGTGGTGCGATAACCGTCGAAGGTGCCGAACCGCTCGATGGTGGTCGAGCTGCGGACGACTCGCGGGTATGAGGTGCTGATCTCCTCGGCGTGGGCGTCGCAGAGCGCTCTCGTGTTCTGACTGGTCCAAACTGAGGCGGTGCCGGCCACGGAAAGGGCGCAGCGGGCTCTGGAGCTTCGCCTTCGGCTCGACGCTGGGTTCGACGCCGGGTACCGCTCTGGCCTGTCGGCGTCGGAGACTCCGATGCGTCGGCAAGTTGAGGAAGTTCAGCATTTGGCGCAGCTTCAGGGGCGTCGTCGGCTGACGCGCTCCTGAAGTTCTCTTTGGTAGCGTTGTCTCCCAGAGAGGCCTGCGCGGGCTCCTCCAGGATGGGCTCGAGCGGGGCTGCCGGAAGAGGTCCCGGCAGCACTCGTGCTTGCGGATCTTCTGGTTCGGGTTGTTGTTCAGGAGGGCCCTCAATGGTGATGTTCGAAGCGTCGCCCTGGCCGGCCTTCGCCAAGTCCTGCTCGGCCGTCTTGAGCTCCTTGAGGTCCTCCTCGGAAGGGGTCCAGCCCTCGAAACCGACGGCTGGGCGTATGTGTTCGCGGGCCACCTGCACAGTGCGGTGCCCGAGCGATACCCTGCCACGGGCGTCTTGCCCCGTCGCTTGCGACCATGCTCGCCCCAGGCTGCCACGCGCTGTCCCGAGAGGAAGTCGTACTCCTTGCGGTTGACAGGCTGGCGGAGGATGGAGGTGCGCAGCGCCTCGTCGGCCTCCAGGTCGGCGATCGCCTTGAGCGCCTCAATGCGGCATCTCTCCCCGTAGGCCAGCATCTCATCCTGGGTGCAATTGTGCCAGAACTCGGCGGACGTGGTGTCAGCCAAGAGCTCGGTCGGAAGTGTGGGTACCCGTCCGAAGGCGGCGGCATAGGCGGCGCGGCCTGCTCGGCGCACTGACTGGTTTACGGCGTGGCTCGTCGAGATGATCGCAAGGTCCACGTGCTCTGGCATCGTCGGTAGGATGACGTCGATCACCTTCTCGAAGACTCGGCGCCAGGCGTAGTTGCCGGATTCGGCCAGGCCCAACTGCCAGTGAGCTCCCGGCGGCACGTACCTCACGTCGATTCCCAACGTGTGGCAGTTGTCCATGAACACGGCTTCGAAGGCGCCGTCCCGGTCGACAACCAGAATCTGCATAATCCCGAACGGGGTGAGCCAGCACGTCTGGAACTTCTCCCAGACGTCTCCTGGTTCGCGTGAAGCAATCCGACACACCACATGTAGTCTCGTAGCTTTGTCCACCAGTCCCAAGAGTGCGTGTGTCGTACCGTCGTGGGTCATGACGTAGAACAAGTCGCCCTTGACTAAGTCGTTGAACAGACCCACTCTTGGAATCTGTGACTCCCGCTGTCGCTGAGGCCGTTTGCGACGAAGGCACGCCGGGCACCTCAGCGCTCTGGCGCACAGCAGCGTGGCCTGCGAGGCGCCTCTCTGAGCCAGGAACTGGAAGAACTCGCTGGGCACCGGATGTCCCAAGTTACAGTGCATACGAGCGACAAGCTGGCGAACTTCACGAGGACACTGCTCCTTTGTCACTCCAACAAAACGTATACCAGCCATACCGCCGGACGCGTCAGGCATCCGAGCGATCGGGACGTCCTGCAGGTCGTCGTCCTCGTCGGGCGGCAAGCTGTTGTTCGGCAGCATCGGGTCGTCCGGGTCCGGGGGAAGCGGCATTCGCTTCTCTATCTGTGACGTGTCAGGCTCCTGCGGGAGGGACTCCTGCTTGGCATAGCCGAAGAAGAAAACGGCTAGGTCCGCGGGCGGCGACAAGGCCAACGTCGGGAAGGCCACGTCAACCAGGTCCTCGGCTTCGATGTGGTAATGCCCCTTCTCGTCCACGTAGCAGTGACCCCGGTGAGACCACGGCTCCTTGTTGATGGGGAACCTCCTTTGCTTGGCTGTCTTCGCGAGCTGGATCATCGTGAGGTCCCACGGGACGAGCTGGCTAATCTGTCTCCAGAGCGTGGATGACTTCGAAAGGTAATGCATGGCCTTGTTCCCGCCTCGGCTGGCGGAGCCGCCCACGATCTGTCGGACGCCCTGCATGACCGCCTCCCACCTGGTGGGGTCCTTCTCTGGCGAGGCGAACAGCACCTCGATGGGACCTGCGTGGTTGTAGGCGACCTCCCACTCGGTAGCCGCGACCGGCATGTCGGCGAACCTGCTCGGATTCCTCTGGGCGGCGACCTGCTGGATCGCGTGGAGCATCGCGTGGGCCATCTCGTCGGTGTACTCGCCGCTGGCCTTTGTCCACTTCGAGTTCTCAATCTGATCGTGCAAGTGGCCCCCGGACTCCGGACGAAGTCCTGGGCACCGGCGGCTCAGAGCCGCAAGCACGGGCGGCGAGTTGGAGAACCAGCGATACGCCTTGCGAATCGGCAGGCCAGTCTTGCCTGTCTTCCCGTACTGGCACCCATGGCCAATAACGGTCTCGCCCAAGGGCAGGAGCGGGGCGAACTGGAGGTCCTTCCAGATCGCTGACGTCGGCGGGTTCTCGAACAAGAAGAACCGGCCATGCTTCACCTGGTACTTGATGGTCCACTTGATCAAGTCAATCAGCCGTCGATCCCGAGCACGAAGTCTCTCAAGCAGCTCGGGATGGTCGACGTAATTCACATTGACGTTGTAGGAGCACCAGAGCGTGCAGGGGAAGCCTACGATCACGTAGAGTGGCTTGTCTTTCTGTATCTGATCTTTCCATCTCTGAGCACCTCGCGTAGTTGACAAGTCCCAGCCGTCCTCTATGTCGGCGCTCGGCGAGGCCCTCAGCTCAAAGCGTGAAGCTAGTCGCGTAGGTCTTGCTGTCCCTGCGCAGCCCTCGATGAGGTCGGTGCCGCACGCCTGGCACTCGTTGTCCAGGTACCGGTGGTCGGGCAACTCGGGAACGGGAATGTCCATGAAGGCCACGTCCGAACAGCACCATTCCGCGTCTCGTAAATCGGCAGCTCGGCGATCGGCATCTTGACTCACGTTAATAAGCGTCTCGCAGGCTGCGGTCGTCTTCTTAGCAATGCCGAGAAGGCGCTTCCAGGCGCCTCTCTTCACCATCTCGGTCCCCGACGCGGGGGAGGCTGGCGCGGAAGCTTGTCCCATCCCTGGTCCGTCTCCTCGCCCCCGGAGGTCCTGTCCATGTTCTCGTCGTACTCCTCGTCCGTCGGAACCGCCTGCTCCGAGGGTGACCTTGGCTCCGCCTTGGTCCGCGTGCGACCCTGGCTCGAGCTCGCCGAAGACTTGACCGGGCGTTTCGGCATTGTTGAAGCAGCTGGCCGAGAGCGCGAGGAGGAACCCAGTGACTTTGTCGAGGTAGGTACGCGAAGAGGATCTTCTTTGTCGTCCACGATCCACTTCCCGTTGACCGACTTCCACCGCCGGCCGCACTGGTCGCAGATCAGCCAGTACCCCTTGGCGTAGTACCTCCTCGTTGTCGGATGGGCGCACACGTCCCTCTTCTCGCACAGCTGTGAGTAGTTCTGGGCTTGATTCTCTGGTGCCGGCGGCGGTGGCAGCACGCTCTCCGGAACCTGTGCGGCTCCTCTCGCGATCGCCTTCACTGAGTCCGCCATCGGTGTCAGGTAGCCCATCTCGTGGCCCATCTGCGCGATCGCGCCCATCATCCGGTCCGACATCTCCATGTTCTGCCGGAACTGCTCGCGACTGCGACCGATGATGTGCGACAGGTGGTTCATGATCAGCTGCATCAGGTTCGTCCACGCGTTGATCGCCAGGTTCTGCCTCGTCAGCTGAACTGTACGACGAGACGATCGGGCCTCCTGCGACTCCGACTTGACCGACTTCATTCACCGACAGACCGAGGATGCTCTCGAACACGGGCGTGGCGTCGGTCAGGTTACAGCCGTCTGGCACGGAGGGCAGGACTTCGCGAGGCTGACGCAGCCCGCGGTGAGTATATGTAAGAGCACACAGTGCTGCGCGTGAAAACTGCATAGGCTGAGACTCGGCTTGAGCACAACTATCTCCGGAAACACAGGCTGGTGCCTCTGGGATCCACTGGGGCTCCGGGATGATGACGTCCGAGGGGGTGAACTTCCAGGCCTCGGGCTCCCTTGGGAACCCCACATCCTTCAACCAAGAGTCGACTCTCAGAAGCAAGTGGCCATTCGGGGCAATCTTCAAGGGCACGTCGCACAGGTTGATCTTGGTGAAATGAGCCCTTTCCCCCAAGGTGTCCAGCTGGAGGCCCGAGAGCTTCCACATCGGTAACGATCCCAAGAAAGGCAACTTAGGGTTCACGTCCAAGACTGAGGTACGGCAAACCAGGGGCACCACATGTTCAAGACATATCGGGAAATACACAACAGATTTGCTCACCGCACGACTGACTCCAAACCGAAACCTCTCTTGCTCCTCAGCTTCCCAGAAACTCAATCCCAGGTAGGCGATGTGTTCCAGAAACTTTCCCAAACACTCGTAGCCCACAACGTTGCGCTGGCAACCTGTGTCGATGACAATGTAGAAACCCTGGGAATCCTCGAGGAAGCAAACGTCCAAGGGCGTCCGGACATGCCAGATGACGTCGACCTGATGCGATGATTTTGTCCCGCTTCTCGCCGCCTGAGCTCCGCGAGAATCCACGGAAAACTGACGCACTTCTGGCGTTGCCTGAAATCGAACGTGAGAGGCCCCCTTGTCGCTGGTGGCGACCCTGCTCTTGAAGGCGGCCACGCGCTGCTGCAGCTCGTCGGGCGAGAGGTGCGTGACTAAGGCCTCGTGCTCTACTGCATCGGCGGCGTACTCCTCATCGTCTTCATCGGCGGGTTCGTCCTGATCGATCGAGGCATCATGAACGGCGCGAGCTCGATCGCGTTTATCCTTGTAGCCGGTCCTCGAAGACGTCTGGCGAAACCCTGGCCTCTGAGATGCCGCCGGTGCTCTTGAATCTCCGGATCGGTCTCCCGTAAATGTTCCACGAATGCTTCCTGAAAAAGACGTGCCGGCCGGCGGCGTCGCAGTGCCTCTCTGTGGCGGTGCTGACGATGTCTGCGGCGGCCTGCCGGGCGGCGCTGGGGACGGCCGGCCCGCAGGGGCGGTGGCACCCCCGGAGGGCGCTGACCGCGGTGGCGGGCGTCGGTCTCCAGGCTTCGGCGGTGAGGACCTTCCGGTCCACCCGCGGCCCAAGGTCAGCTTCTTCAACTTGTCGCTGGTGACGGTCAAAGCGTCCGCCACCTCCTGCATGACCTGGATACTGTCAACCTCCTCGGCGTAAGCCTCATTTACTTCTGCTTGATCGGGGTCATCTTCATCTTCGTTTTCCTCAGCCTCGTCCTCGGGAATAATGTCGGCCTCGCTGACGTGGGGCGGCTTCGGCGGCGGTCGAGGAGCTCGACTCGGTGGCTGTCGATCTCGTCCTTTGCCGCCTCCTTTGTCGGGATCTCGACCAGCCGACCTGCGTTCAGGAGCGGCCGCCTCACCGAGTCGCTTACGTGCCATCCGTCGTACTGGAGCGACCCAGTTCGGGGCGGTGGACGGCCACTGCACACTCATAGCCTGAACGAGGCGGTCGAAGTCATACTCATTGCCCGTGGCGAGGAGAAGGTTGCGCCGGACCTCCGGCGATAAACATGAACTTCGCAACAACTTGAATGCACGAAATTGCCCTTGCTGAGCTGGAAGCTCTGCCCGCTTGAGCCGCATCTCGAGATCCTTGAAATGCGCGACGTACGCGGCCAGCAGCTCACCGGGCAGACGCTCCACTTCTTCGTACTCTTCCATGAGGTCTCCAACCTGTAGGATCTGCTGCTCGTCAAACACGGCGAGGGAGTTGATCACCAAATCAATACCATCCTGTGAATACAACCGGGTCCATTCCAAGGACTCGATCATCTCTGCGCCCTCGCCCGTGATGACGTCCGAAAGGTCCAGGGCCAGCTCGGCCATCGGCTTGTAGTGTCGCGCCCTGGCCTTCCACATGTGGACTTTCCTAACCCACTTCTGGTAGTATCTCGGCTGCTTGTATATATTCTGAAACCGGGCCTCGAGTGGAGGTGGGGCTGGGCACGGTCCTCCGCGCCACTTCTTGCGATCACCGCGGGTGCGTCGAAACTCCGCCGAGCTCGGTGGAATCTCCGACTCCTCGTCGTCGTCCTCGGCCCAGTCCTCTCCAGCCCACTCGTCGGCCCATTCCTCTTCGTAGGTCTCGTCGTCGGGCATAGCCGCTGCCGCGGCTCCATCTTGAGGGTGCTTGCCCCTGTATCGACGATCTCCGTACTTCTTCGGTGCGGCGGCGCCGCGAGAACCAGCGGCAGCAGCAGGCCTCCGGTCAGCCATCGTGCGAGATGTAATATCCGTCGGGATCTGTCCGACTGCACGGGAGTGTCCGGGAGGAAACTGTCTGATGCCGAAAGGGTTCTCCCTGCGAGGGAGCTCGGAATACACGCTCCGCTGCCAATGCAACGCACACGCAGGTGCTGACAATATGCGTGAATCTTTTATTCCAAGACCTTCTCGCTGCAAATGATAAGTGATGCTAGCTGGTAGCGTAGGCAGAAGGGGGCCCCCTCAGCCAATATGTTTACGGGCAGAGGGGTGAGAGCGTGCAACAGCAATAGCAGGGACCAGCATTATCAGATAAACAGAATGACTATTGCAAAACCATACTGATACGAATGATACAGTTTATACGAATAGTAATAATAGTGGTAAGACTAATAATGATGTTTGTAATAACATCAATAATACGAATAAGAATAAAAACAATGATATCAATAATGATAATACAAACTAATAGCAATTAATTCGAATAATAAGAAAAAAGAAGAAGAATGATAACAATGTTGATAATGATAATAATACCTTTAAAAAATAAAAAATCCCGGGGATCCCGTGTTAAGAAAATAATGCGCGGAGGGGGCATCAGGGGAGAGATGAGAGAGGTAGTCATATTGTGTAATGGTGGAGGAGGAGAAGAAGAAGGAGAAGGAGGAGGGAAGGGAGGAGGAGGAGGAGGAGGAGGAGGACGAGGACGAGGAGGAGCAGGAGGGGGAGGAGGAGGAGGGAGGATGAGAAAGAGGAGGAGGAGGAGGAGGAGGAGGAGGAGGAGGAGGAGGAGGAGGAGTGGGAGGGGGGAGGAGGAGGGGAGGAGGAGGAGGAGGAGGAGGAGGAGGAGGAGGAGGAGGAGGAGGAGGAGGAGGAGGGAGGAGGAGGAGAAGGAGAAGGGGGAGAAGGAGGGAGGAGTAGGAGGAGGAGGATCGAAGATCGAGGAGGAGGATCGAGGATCGAGGATCTAGGATCCGAGGATTGAGGAGGCAGGGAGGGGCGATATGAAAATCGTGGCATCTGGCCTGGCCTGCCTCTGGAAGGCCGGGTCCCAGAAGCGACAGGGCGAAGCACACGGAGGCAGTAGGCGGGGCAGGGCAAGGGCGCAGGTGATCGCAAGCAGCAGAACCGTCTGTGTTCGGACTGGGGACGCGGGGGGGGGGCAGGGAAGGGAAACGGACCCGGATCCCCTGGCTCGGCCTCTGGGGTCCCTCACCAAACCCCGGGGCCGTCACAAAACTGCTCGGGATGAGGGGAGCGGTCCCTGGAAAGGGGTCCAGACCTCTTCGGGGGCACACGATGTGTAAAAAGACGGTGTCGGAGGTCTGGGGGGTGAGGGAGGGAGGACGAGGAGAGGGGGGGGGGAATCGGAGAGCAAGATCGGGAGGGGAGGAGCTGGTGAGGGACGAGGACGGATTCGAGAGGGGAGGGAGGGAGGGAGGGAGGGAGGAAGGAAAGAGGGAGAGAGGGAGAGGGAGGGGGGGAACACGGGGAGGGGGAGGGGGACTTCCGTTTCATACCCGCAGCAAGCAGTGAACGATCAGCACCGAGGCGTGAGAGGCGGAGCGCCGCTGGACAGGCCGGGAACGCCACACGCGATGCCATGCAGAGCGCCAGAGAGCCAGGGGGAAGGGAGGGGGGCCGAGCGCTGGGGAGATTGGGCATGGCGTGGGCTTCCCAACTCGTGCGTGCCGGATCTGCGCAGGGCCCATGCCAATCGTCTCTGCATCATTCGAACATGGACGCATGATTCCTAGAGGGGGTCATGCGGGGAGGAGGAGGAGGAGGAGGAGGAGGAGGAGGAGGAGGAGGAGGAAAAGAAGGAACAGGGAGGGGGTAGGGGGATGGGGGAGGGGCAGGAGAAGGAAGAGGAGGGGGGAGGGCAAGCTAGGTGCGCTCGCGTCATATCTGACGTCCTACCCCTCCCTCCCATCCCTTACCATGGCGCTGATTTTCTCTATCCACGGACGCGTGTCGTAGCGGACCTGTGGCTCCGCGCGCGGTGCGTAGTGGGTGGTGGTGCACGTGCGTGCGTGCGTGTGTGCGTGGGTCGTGGTGGTGGTGGTGGTGGTGGTGGTGTGGTGGTTGGGGGGGGTGGTGGTGGTGGGGTATTGGTGGTTGGTGGTGGTGGTGGTGTGGTGGTGGTGGTGCGGTGTGGTGGTGGTGGTGTGGTGGTGGTGGTGCTGTGGTGGTGGTGGTGCTGCTGGTGATGGTGGTGTGGGGTGGGGTGTGGTGGTGATGTGTGGTGGTGGTGGTGGTGGTGGTGGTGGTGGTGGTGGTGGTGGTGTGGTGCTGGTGGTGGTGGTGGTGGTGGTGGTGGTGGTGGTGGTGGTGGTGGCGGTGCGGCGCGGTGGTGGCGGGCGGATGGGCGCGCGAGAAAAAGGCCCGCGCTGGGGCGAGAACTCCATCCTGAACGACGGAGGCCAAACACCGATCCGAAAATGAGGCCCACGCTGCAGCGTGAGCACGATTCGGAACGATTCGGGAGCAGAAATGAGGCCGGCGCCTCAACGAGAGCAGCATTTTGGGAAAAAATGACGCCGGCGCCTCAGCGAGAGTCGTTTCCCGGGATTTTCCGGGAACCCTGTGTAAAAAAACAGTATGCGGAGGGTGCGCGGCCATCACCCGGACGCCATCAGGGGAAGAGGGAGAGTATTTTCATATTGAATCCGCCGACCCTGTCGGCGTGTGTGAGGGGCTTTTCCGTTCGAGCCGTCATCTCCGTTATTCTTTGTACTCGTCGTCTCTGTCCTGCGCCCCAGCCGCCCGAGCCGCGCCCGAGCCGCTCGAGCCAAGCCGACCTTGAGCAACGTCGTAATTCAGTCGAAGGGAAGCCCCTTCCCTTTGATCCCTTCCCCGCCGGGAGGGGGGGGGGGGGTATCGACCCCCCCCCGGGTCAGATACGACGCCCCCTTCCCTTGATCCCTTCCCCGCGGATGGGGGGGGGGGTATCGACCCCCCCCCCGGGTCAGGTACGACGCCCTCCCCCCGTTACCGACCTTGAGCAACGTCGTAATTCAGTCGAAGGGAAGCCCCTTCCCTTTGATCCCTTCCCCGCCGGGTGGGGGGGGGGGGTATCGACCCCCCCCCCGGGTCAGATACGACGCCCCCCGCCCGTATCGACCTTGAGCAACGTCGTAATTCAGTCGAAGGGAAGCCCCTTCCCTTTGATCCCTTCCCCGCCGGGAGGGGGGGGGGGTATCGACCCCCCCCCCCGGGTCAGATACGACGCCCCCCCCCGTACCGACCTTGAGCAACGTCGTAATTCAGTCGAAGGGAAGCCCCTTCCCTTT